GCACAACGAGCCATAACAAAGTAATATTCACTTTTGTCTTCCCAGAACTATATTACCTCATTGCCAGATTCCTGCAGTCTGGACCATGTAAAAAATCAGCTCAGGTAATAAGGAAAAGTCACACTGTTGTCAACAATGTACAATATTAGAAGAGATAGCCGTTAATGCTAATGCTAACGGTGTGTGTGTTGTTAGATTCTGGTCGAGGAGCTGGAGGAGTATGAGGTAACTTCAGCTGCACCTTTCTCTTTTTATTCTCATGTGTGGCTTCCGTAATTATGCCAAAGTTGTCAACGTTAGAAAATTCTTCTTTATTCTGTATTTATGGTCTAATGAAACTGCGCCGTGGAGTCGGTGACAGATAGACGTGTTGCAAATTCTGTAAAATTGTTTTTTATATTTTAGTTGATTCCAGAGCGATGGAGTTGGGACGGGAAGAAATACAAACGCAACTTTGAAGACTGGGTAGGTGCATTAAATCTAAATTAGCGTAGTGCCAACAAATTATGTTATTTTCACTTCTATTGAAACATATGTTCTGTTGTACAATAATATAACTAACCGTTAACAAGTGACATGGTGCCAATGATTTTTTTTCGTTTATAAATCAAATTAGTTGAATTTTTGTTTAGGCCTCTTCATAATAGATTCGCCGTTGCTTTTGTGTAGTCCAGGGGCGGAGAAAATGGACTGAAACGTGTTACCATTGGCTGAAACTGAACCAGGGACCTTTCAATATATTTTTCAGCCAATCAGAACACAGATTCTTCCGGTCATGTTTTTTTTAGCATTGTGATTTGACGTTTTCTGTTTTCTGACCCTCCCCTTGCTTTCCCTGTCTCCGGGATTTTTGTTATAACAAATATATTTTTAAAATATACCATTTTACTGTAAAATATGAGCATTCTGTGTTTCATTTCTAGGTGATTCTGAATCAACACATTCCCGATGATTATTTGCTCCAGATCTGCAAAAGAATTGGTCCTCTTATAGAGAAGGAAATCCCACCTAGTGTCCCAGGTGTACAAACTCTCCTCGGCCTTGGAAAGCAATCCTTGCTTCGCACCACTAAAAGTCAGCAGATTTTATATAATGTTCCTCCTGAATTGTAAGTTTGATAGATTTGTGTCGATGATGTGTTGCTTTATTGTTAAATGTAGGTTGTAGCCACAAAGTCTGTAGTGGTTCTGCAGTTGCCGCTCTTCATCGAGGCAGGCCTCCTGAACCTCCCGTGGTGAATGGAACTGCTCCTAATGTTGGTGGGTATAGCCTCTATCTGTTGCATTATCCCTGATAGTTTCAATTGATTGAATTGATTGATTAATTAAACTTGTCCTTTATCACTAGTGTCTATTGTGGGGGCTCGTCAGGCCACTGGAGTTGCTCGGTTTGGTCAGGCTTTCCCATCTTCATCATATCAACACATGAAGATTCACAAGCGCATTCTGGGACACCTCTCGTCTGTTTACTGTATAGCCTTTGATCGCACTGGTCATCGGATATTCACGGTAAGATTGTTGCTCTCATTATCAATGTGACATGCAGTTAGGTTTGTTGTATTGAGTTCCTTTTATATATCTATTTACAATCTATCTCCTGTATTTTAGGGTTCGGATGACTGCCTTGTGAAAATCTGGGCCACTGAGGATGGCCGTCTATTGGCAACACTTCGAGGCCACTCAGCAGAGATTTGTGATATGACAGTCAACTATGAGAATACTCTGCTGGCCTCAGCCAGCTGTGATAAGGTCATACGAGTGTGGTGCCTCCGGACATGTGCCCCCATATCTGTTCTACAGGCTCACCAGGCCTCCATTACTGCTATACAAGTGAGTATGCCTTTTAATTGTACAGAGTTAAGTTTTATGTCAATAACTACTAATTATTTCTATTATACAGTTTTGCCCTGCTGTTAAAGGACCAATGAGATACCTTGCATCTACAGGTGCAGATGGCATGGTCTGTTTTTGGAACTGGCATTCGGAGACGCTAAAATTCAAGTAACCACTAAAGATAATAAGACAAGATAATAATATTATAATAATAATAAGTCATAATTTATAGAAATTCTTGAGCTCTAATAATTTCCTCCTTTAGTGATCAGCCGACCAAATTTGAACGTTCCCGTCCTGGTGTGCAGGTGTCCACATCTTCTTTCAGTGGTGGTAAGTAAATCCTACTCATCATTTAAGGGCTCATACAATGACTGTACACAAAATATTAATACAGCTGTATATTGTGATGGCAACCCGCATATCAAGAGATGCCATACTTTTAAACAATGACACCAACCACGAGTTGACTATTGCATGGGGGCTTAAGCTACTGGGCTGAAAAAATTAGTTATTCATAAATCAATAAAGGGATTGTGAACATAAAATTCCAATGCATTCCAAGCACACTAAGCACAAGAAAATCATCAATTTAACAAATGTTTTAAAACTTTTTTTAGGGATATGCATGTTCCAGGATGCATGTATTATTTTGAGGTCCACATTTTCTTTTCTTTTAATAGGCGGTATGTTTATGGCGACCGGTGGAACTGATCATATGGTCCGGATCTACTATCTTGGGGCTGAAACGCCCACGAAAGTGTCTGAAATTGATGGTCATACAGTAAGTTTGAGGTTTGCTCTTGAAAGTAATACTGTTTTTAACCATACATTAATGCTTGTTTTAATCTCTTTTTACAGGACAAAGTTGTTGTAGTGCAATTCAGCAATAACAGTGACAGGTGTGTATGTTCTGTTTTATGTTATCATGCATTGGTGATGCTAAAAGTACTAACTGTGGTCTTGCCTCTAGCCTCAGATTTGTAAGTGGCAGTCGTGATGGCACAGCCAGAATATGGCATTATCAGCAACAGGAGTGGAAGAGCATTACTTTAGACATGACCACTAAGATGCCAGGGTTAGTGAAGTTGCATTTGATTGTTACTTGAATATGTGAATGTCATTTAGCAAAACATTACATTGTACTTTTCAGAAGTAGTGCATCTAACGGAGAGGAAAAAGTAAAACTTGTTGTGACAATGGTGGCGTGGGACCGGGCAGATCGTACAGTCATCACAGCTGTGTCAAACTACCTGCTCAAAGTGTGGAACGCAACTACCGGGCAATTGCTGCACAATCTGTGTGTAAGTAATGGTACTTATTCTTTGAAAACATTAAATATAGAGCAAGGTACTATTTATTTGTTTTTGCTGTTTAGGGCCATGATGATGAAGTGTTTGTTCTGGAATCCCACCCCACTGATTCTCGTATATTACTCTCCGCTGGTCACGATGGGAACATTTACATGTGGGACCTTACAAAGGGAGTCAAGATCCGCAACTTTTTCAACATGGTACTACAAAATGATAATAATGATACTGCTTAAGTAGGATTTTGTTTTGTTTTGTCCTCTTTTACCTTTGGTACTTTGTGAACAGATTGAAGGACAAGGACATGGTGCTATTTATGACTGCAAGTTCTCTGCTGATGGACAGCATTTTGCTGGCACTGACTCACATGGTCATTTGCTCATCTTTGGCTTTGGCTGCAGTAGACCCTATGAAAAGGTATGACATAACAGAAATTAAGGTTTGTTTTTAATTTAATTTTTATTTTATTTTCTTATTTGATTTCAGATTCCAGACCAGATGTTCTTCCATACAGACTACAGACCACTTATCCGGGATTCTAATAACTATGTCCTAGATGAGCAGACCCAGCAGGCCCCACACCTCATGCCTCCACCTTTCTTAGTCGATGTTGATGGAAATCCTCACCCCCCTCAGTACCAGCGCCTTGTACCAGGAAGAGAAAACTGCAAGGAGGATCAGCTCATACCTCAAATTGGTTACGTTGCTAATGGTAATGGCCTTTTTTATAATGTCACAACATATAAATATCTATAGTGATTGACAGAAATGTTTTGCCTAGGTGACGGGGAGTTAGTTGAGCAGGTTATTGGCCAACAAACAGAAAATGGAGAAAGCATATTGGACAGTCTTATACGGCAACTACAAAATGAACAAGATGAGCGTCAAAATGTACAGCCTGCAGCAGAGGAGAATCAGAGAGGAGGTTAAACTTGTTCAGTGATAAGTGTTTTGCTTATTTAAACTTATTTGTTGTTATAAAACTTTGCTCTTTTAGGTAATGAAGCAGCAGAAGGTGAGAATTCTTCCCCAGCCGCAGAGCCACGCAGAAGTGGTCAGGTTGATGGAGTGTGGCAAATGCAGCACAATAATCTACGCAGCCAAGTGGCAACCGAAAGGGACCTGCTGGCCTGGAGTCGCAGAGTGGTGGTCAATGAAGTGCCACAAGCAATGTATAGGTAAGCAAATCATAATGTAATAAAGTGTTGCATAAAAAGATGAATACCTGTATGCTTTGATCAGAATTTTAGAGGAGTGCAGACAAGCCAAAGGTGACATGGAGTGTGTCCTGTACAATGCTGAGCGTCGAAAGAAGCCTTTGCCATTCCAGCCCCAGGTTTATATTCACAGTACATTAGTTTTATCTACGTTTCACATTCTTTCAGTCAGTTGAAATAGACTTGTGGTTTTACTTTCTCTAGACTGAGCCCCTGGGATCTCGGCGCTCTCTCCGACCTACAAAGAAGCAGAAACAAAAACATGCATATCAGACGCGATCCGCACAAGTACGCCGTGTGGGGAGCAGACGAAGGTCCAGCACACGTCGTACTTCTGACAGCCAACTCGAGTCAGAGAGTGATGGAGAGGTAAAATGTGTCAGAGTTTGATATGATTAAATAGGTAAAGCTAGTGTTGTAGAATAAGTTGTAATAATGTGGGAGTTGAAGAGAAGAGGCATGATGCTGGAGTTCTAATGCAGGAGAAGTTTTTCCTACCCTCAGTACAGGACTTAGCTGCCTGTGCTTCTGTTGTAGATGGCATCATACATGGGCAAAAGGTAAGAAGGACTGAGATGGCAGTGAGTGCCCTCAGTACAGCACAGAAATGAAATCTCTCTAACAGGCAGCATCATTTAATAATGGGATATATTGCTTAAATATGAATATAAATTACTCCTGATAAATATGATAAAAATTAAATTGCCATCAAATCTTTAAGACATACGTTTACATAACAGGCGGCTGAACAAGGAGATGCTAGTGATGCATCTTCTGATGAAGATCAATGGCAAAGTGAGAGCAGCTCAAGGTAAGGTTATAGTCTATATTCAGAGTTTTCCTGTTTCTCCATTTATATACTTTGCTTCTAGAGGCCAAAAGTTGCTTTGTTTTGTTCCTTTCTATTTGCATAGTGACTCGTCCAGTGAATATTCTGACTGGACTGCTGACGCTGGGATCAATCTCCAGCCACCAAAACGTTCATCAAGGAGGCCTGCGCCTCCTGCTGGTTACAGCAGCACTGACGATGAAGGAGGAGAGGATAAAAATGCACAGCCCAAAAAGGACAATGAAGAACAGAAGAAACCTAAACAAACCAAACAAGTTGGGGGAAAAAGCCATTTTGTCCAAAATGTCAAGATTTCAATGAAGGATATAACAACATAATCCTTTTGTGTTTATAGAAGCCAACATCATCTCTCGGTGGTCGAAATGCAGAGGAGTGGCGTCCACCATCTTGGATAATGGAAACCATCCCACGGCGGTCTCCCTTTGTCCCACAGATGGGTGACGAGGTAAAGACAAGTTCTCAAAATGTAATTTGAAATTGTTAGAGGTTGGATAGAATTCATAGGAAACTGGGTTCACAACATGACATGGTTCCTATGTTTATCCTATCATTTTGTGTGTTGCAGCTGGTCTACTTCAAACAGGGCCATCAGGCCTATGTGAGGGCTGTCCGCAGGGCTAAGGCCTACAGCATTAACCCCCAGAAACAGCCATGGAACAGACTTAACCTCAGGGTAAATTAGCAGTTATTTGTCTACATCTTTAATTTTATAAATTTTTTTATGAATGTGTCTTTGGTTTAACATTTACTATGTGTGTGTTTCTGTTTAAGGACCAGGAATCAGTTAAGGTAGTAGGGATTAAATATGAAGTTGGACCTCCCACTCTTTGCTGCCTAAAACTGGCCTTCTTAGATCCGGTCTCAGGGAAAATGACAAATGATTCTTTTTCTTTAAAGTGAGCTTGAATGACACTTGATATTATATGTAGCAAATTTGTCAAACTGTTTTTATTATGATATTTATGTTGTTTTATCCCCAGGTACCATGACATGCCCGATGTGATTGATTTTCTTGTCCTTCAACAGTTTTACAATGAGGCACGAGAACATAATTGGCAGCCGGGTTAGACATTTCAATGTTTCCATTTTTGATGAAAGCCTATATGTTTTAAATGTTGTTTCTTGTTATATGTGTTCAAATGCATGCTTCACTTGTGCAGGTATGAGTTTCCGCAGCATAATTGATGATGCTTGGTGGTTTGGCACTATTGAAGACCAGGAGCCTCTGCAGTTGGAGTATCCAGACAGTCTCTTTCAGTGCTTTGCAGTAAAGTAAGTCCATTGTAGAGGACACATGACTTTTTTTTTTTACCTCATCTTAAAATGTCGTCATGAAATCCCTAAAATAGGTGGCCTTTTGAACTTATGTTTTATTTGATCAGATGGGACAATGGGGAGTGCGAGAAGATGAGTCCATGGGACATGGAGCCAATACCCGAGGAAGGCAAGTATTATTATTATTATTAATAATGTTATTATTATTATTATTATGCATCAGTTTTATATAGCTCTTTTCTGGACACTCAAAGATGCTTTACAGAGCATTCACTTCACACTCAGTGGTGGTAAACTACTACTAGAGCCATAGCTGCCCTGGGACAGATGAACAGAAGCAAGGCTGTCAATCTGCACCATCTGCCACTCTGACCAGAGCCAACACTCATGCACCCCCCACTTTCTTACTAGGCAATGTGGATGAAGTGTCTTGCCTAAGGACACAGTGACAGTTTTTGCGCCTGGTGTCCAACTGTGGCACTGATTTTTCCCGGCAGTCTCCCATCTAAGTACTAACCAGGCCCTGCTTTGCTTAACTTCTGAGATCTGACGGGATCAGGTGTTGATAAACTTGTAGGGTAAAATTAGCCTGTTATTGACCTTATGCCACTCTATTGGCTGCCGAATTCACTAATCAATAAATTTTATACAGACTACAAAACTGTTTACAAACCATCCAGCAAAAGTGTGCATTGTTGTCTTACTGGGCATTTTAGACAAACCTCCAAATTTATATACTATTTAAGCAATGAGACACTTCTGTTTCTCCATTCAAATGAATGGGATATTTGCTTAACCTGAAGTACTAACCACAGTGAAGTGCCGGTTAGTAGCAGTTAGAAACAAAAGTGGGTTGGGCAGAATAAGGGGGATACATCAGACAGATTTTTTTAACTATTGTGGCTCTCAACCAGTATTGTTTTGGCCTCCACAGCTGCACTGCCAGAGCAGGTTGGAGATGGCACACCAGTGGCTGAAGAAGAGTTGACTGCTCTGCTTTACAAACCTCAGGAAGGAGAGTGGGGCGCTCACACACGAGATGAAGAGTGTGAACGGGTTTTACAAGGCATTGTTGACCTCCTGACACTGGGTATGTCTCTAGGACTTTGAATCATAAGGATGAAAATGAATTTGTGAACTGCTCACAATAATCTGCTCTCCTTCTTATTTTGTAGATGTAGCGAAAGCTTTTGCATCGCCTGTAAATCTGCAAGTCTATCCTCTGTATTGCACTGTGGTGGCTTACCCAACTGACCTAAGCACCATCCGCAAAAGACTGGAAAACCGATTTTACAGGTTCTGAGAACATACAAAATATAAACAAATCTAATATTGCTACAACCAAAGTCAGCACTGGGTATGTTAACTACAGGGGTGTTTTGTTGTAGGCGGATTTCTGCATTAATGTGGGAGGTACGTTACATTGAACATAATGCACGCACTTTCAATGAGCCACAGAGCCCCATAGTAGCAGCAGCAAAGATAGTGACTGATGTGCTCCTCCATTTCATTGGGTGGGTACTTCTAATGACTCAAATAGCAATATTTATTGTGATCATCAATGAAACTGATCAATTAATGCGTCTTTGGCTCCACCAGAGACCAGAGCTGCACAGACATCCTTGATCTGTATCACAAATTAAAGTTTGAGGTCAGCAGTGGAGATGAAGGAGAGGTGAGAGAAAGATGAATGTTATAATTATTTAGTTGTTTTTATGCCGTTAATCCCCATCTTTATTACTATGCAGGTTGATGTGGACATAGATTCTGATACCCCAGGGACATCCACGGGACATCGGGTAAGACAGTTTCAGTAAAAGTTTCAGTAGCTGTCATTTTGAGTCACTACATTGATCATTGGCATGTCAGAATAATTACTATATCAATCTAATTTTCTGTGCACTAGTGAGGCATTTCTTTGTGATTTTGTTATGATACTTGAATTAACAGAACAAACAAAAGACACGTGGTGTGGCTCTAGACCCCAAAGCCTGGAGAGCACAGTGTAGAGAGTTGCTTCGACGAATGGCGGTTTCTCCTGACTCAGAACCTTTCAGGCAGCCTGTGGATCTATTTGAGTACCCCGTAAGGCACTCTTTCGCTTTCATTTTAAAATAAGAAAACACATGGTGAATATATTTTATTATTTATAATTTCTCTTTTCTGTTTAGGACTATCGGGACATAATTGATACTCCTATGGATTTGGGTACTGTGTCTGAGACTCTGCTGGCAGGAAATTATGAAAACCCAATGGAATTTGCTAAAGACATTCGCCTCATTTTTAGCAATTCAAGAGCATACACGCCAAACAAGAAATCAAAGGTAAGAAATGTCTATGTGAAATAATTTAGAAAGTGTTAATCTGCAGAAAAGAAAAGACAAATCGCATACCTGTAGAGACGTTTCAAGGTTTTATTTGTCAATCCACCTACTGCTCTAGAGCCCAACAGTGCACTTTGATATTTTAATAAACCATGGTAGCTAGCAAGTTGTACTAATGGGTAACATATACAACGTCCAGCAATGCAATTAAAATCTTAATGTTTTTATCATTTAATGTAAGTGCATTATTTTTCTGCTTAGATTTACACCATGACTCTCAGCTTGTCGGCCTTCTTTGAAACAAATATAATCTCCATCATCTCTGATTACAAGTCAGCAATTCAGAACGAACGCAGAACTCGTCAAAGGCAGAGTTACAGAGACCGACTGCAAAATGGAGGAGGCTCCCCCACTCTCAGCCCCTCTCCAAGGTAAAAGGTTTATATATTTATTAATCAAAATAGATCCAAACTAAAGCACATAGTGTATTTAAATACAAAAACAAAACAAAAAATCATGTCATGTTAAGTAATTTAACCATTTTATATTTTATACTGTTGTACCTAATCTTTTTTTTCTCAGTTCTAAAGGGAAGCACAAATTAAGTAAGGGCTCCAAGACAAAAAAATCCCAGTCCTCAATTAAAAAGTCTGGATTAAGATCACATCAAGGTAGTTAAATGGATTTGTAATTTTAAAATCACCATTTCAAAAGAGTCAGTCAGACAATTTTTAAAACGGTATTTTTCATTTGTTTGGTTGCAGCTGTAGCAGAAGTGGACATTGAACCGTCTTCCCCAAGTTCAGGGACGAGTAGCAACAGCAGAAGCCAAGACTCTCGAACAACTCGCAGCAAAGCCTCTCGTAGATCAGGTAACCAACGCATACCCTGTCCAAAACAAGAGCTCAGAGCTTCAGTTGGAAATTTGGATGTTGAAATTGAAGAACTAAAAAAAAATTATAATTGTGAGAATTTTGTTTGCAAAAAGTAGTAATTTAAAGTAGTTTAAAAAGTTCTCATTGTCTGTTTGTCACATTAGCTACTTTTAAATTAAAATGTGTGTGAACAGCTTCATAAACATTTTGGAAATGAATGAAATTAAGGATTTCGTTGTTGTTTTGTGGAATTGTTAAATATGTTTAAATTTGTTTAAATTCTTTGTGTTTGACAGGCCACCAGCGTAGAAGGACAGGTGAGCAGCAGGTTGAACAGTCAGACAATGAAGCTTCGGGTTCCAATAGCTCCTCTTCAGACTCCTCCTCTTCATCATCTTCGACATCCTCTTCATCGTCTTCGGACAGCTCAGACTCTGAGATGGAGCAGTTTGTGGAAGGAGGTGATCATGACTATAGCAAGGCCTCCTGCCGGTCAGCACGGCCCACTGCAAAAGGCAAAGAGGTCCTCTCAGGGAAACGCAGACTCAAAGAGGAGGAGGCATCAAATCAGAGGCCAAAACGAGCCAGAGTTCAACTTCAGGTGCACGAGGAAGAAGATGATGAAGAGGAAGAGGAGGAGGAGGAGGAGGAAGAAGTATTGCTGCAGCCCATAACTATAAGTCACCGTGACGACGAGGAAGAGGAGCCAGAGGAGGAAGAGGAAGAGCTAGAGGAAGACAATGAGGTGGAAGAGGACGAAGAAGAAGAAGAAGAAGAGGAGGAGGATGATGAAGAGGATGACGACAACTCTGAGCCTCAAGCAGCAGCCAAAAGCACCAGGGTCAACCATCTCAAGTCTCAAAGGGTGAGCACACGAAATCAGGGCCGCAGGACGGTGGTGTATAGAGACGGAGACTCAGAGGACGAGGCTTCCAAACAGGACCCTCTGAACCTGGGCATGTCCCGCTCTGGACGGGTGCGCCGCATGACTGAGAAGGCCCGTGTCAGCCACCTAATGGGCTGGGGGGGGCATTGAGAAACTCTAAGAAATCTGTTGAAATAAGGAATACTTCAGGGATTTTGCATTGTACATGTGTATATATTAAATATATATAGAGAGAAATGTTTTTATCTGAGACTACTAATGACTGGTGCTCATATCTGTTGCCAAGGATTTTTCCCTGGTCGACTGGACTTGCTGTTCAGCTCACCTCTGCCTTATTGATCAGGAGAGGAGTGCCACTTCTTCCTCTTTGTCCTGTTTCTTTTATGCTCACAACACTCTCACTTCCTCATACTCGTCCTGTGACCGCTTTCTCTCCTAGTCACCAAAGATGGATTCACAAATGCCAAAAATGGTGCTCATATTTTAATTCTCAAGAATTTTTTTTATTTTTTTTTGAGACGCGTACAGCATTAAGATTACTGATGTCAGTTTTTTGTCACAACTTGTGTTTTCATGACCGCATTAGCCTCCTTTTTGCGCCATTGCCTTCTCTGTATGTGACTGTGGTACTAACTATGGATACTGTTTGAAGGATTGTTGAATACAACTTGGTGGATTTAGGATTTTGAAGTACAAAACCTTTTTATTAATGGAGCTACAGCCACTTTGTATTCACACAGTCCAACTTTCTTTTACAGGGCTCAATAATAATATGTTTGGATTGGGTGCTTTACAATGAAATACTTTTGCTTAGTTTAATTTACAATATGGTGTATGTATGATGCATTTAGGCAGACTTTCAGCCAGAGCAATGGCTCCTCTGGGCAGCCTTCTTCCACTTTTTATTTCATTTAGTTTAGTTTTCTACATTGTATTAATGTACAATTTCATGTTAATGTGGGGGATTAGGATGGAAAAAAAACATTTGCACATTTATCCACATGGCAGCTGATATCTTATATTTTTGTTTATGAATGTTTAAATTCTACTTGTGTACCGTCTCTTAGAGTTTAAAAATGGAACCAACAAGGAACCTCCCTGTGCCTGAGTTTGAAGGCAAAAGCATTTGACTACATCATGAGGTCTATCCACTCAAAACATCTTTCTTTGAACAGTAGTTTGTATTTTGTGCCAACCTCCACTTTTATTTTTCTTTTAAGTTCAGATGGTAACATATTATTGCACAGTCCAGTGTTTTACAATAAGATGATCAAACTTTCTTGAGTTGACCTGATTATGAGAATTGTCCAACTTAATCAGCATTTGAATACTGGTGCTCTAATTGTGAACTCCCAAACGATGATGAGGTCAGGATTTCTTGAAGATTAATTGTGTGTTTGCAGTAGGACAAGTTTCAAGTTGGTTGGCAACATTTACGGATGGTTCTGGTTTCTTGTGGTCAAAATAAGATCCACAATTTAAGATTTACATATTCTGTGTTGCTGTTAGTCCTGCCGCTAAGCATCACTTTAGTAAAAATAATCTCCAATAAGTGGAATTAGATAATGTGACTGTCTTTTATGTACAATGTTTTGATGGTGTGTGCTTTTTAATAAATAGACTTTCTCCTAACATTGTGTTTTTCGATCACTGTATTTTGAGGGCTTGAGGACTGTCTAGGAAGTTGTCATTGCCATGTTAACATGACTGTACATTTATGACTTCGAACTGGATGAACATGCTGAAGGCCTGGTGAGTCAGACAAAGAACAAACAAGGTTGAGCTGTGACGCACACCTCCGCCACACCTAGAAACTGCAGACAGTGGATCAATACATGGGGGAAACTCGGGGCTAAAGGTCATTCTCATTCTGTGATGTAATTATTATGGTATTACATACACTTATGTGGGGGTTTGTATTTACAAACAGAACACCTCCAAAGACTGGTTATAGATTTTAATGTTTCACTGACAAAATAGAACACAATCAACTTGACATGTTTTATTGGACAGGATCAGGATTGATAACATCAAAAAGGCTTTATTATTACATACTAAAGCTACTTGACTTCAAACTTTTATAATGTCACACAGAACAGCAGTTACATTGTGCTCAAGTCCTCACACTGCATATCAAGTGCTTGACTAAATATATGTAGCTAGATACCAACACTGAGAAACGTGAACACATTATTCTATGTATACACACAATTTGGCACGTACATTTATGCAAACTACAACAAATAATTAACACAACATCGTCCTTTAAGGAAGGGGATAGCCTGTCATGTTTGAACAGGTGGGGACATAAATATGTGGAAAACCACATCCAGCAAGGACGGTGGAAGCCTTCAATACTCACTGTTTTGGTATTGCACCCTTCTCTCCCTCCTTTACTGTAAATTCACATTTACAAATACAGTGTTGACAATATGGAAGTATCACAGGAAATATTTGCCGATGTTTCTGTATCTCCATACAGGGAGTTTTAAAGTCACATACTGAAATCCACTGCACATAACAATGAAGTCAGAACATTGTTTCACAAAACAACTACACAGGTATAAACCCACTAAAATACCATGATTTAAACCTCATAATTTTAAGATTTAACAGATATATTAGATACGTTTTGCCATAAAGAGCAATCACATGACTCATAGCTGCAACAGAGCAGATCCTCGCCTGTGCTTTCATTTCTCTTCAACTGTCTCACAATGTGAACCCATTACTCCTTTTCGAAATATGTATGTCCTGCTCCACTGACTCTCTGTTCTCCAATGACTTGCAGTATTTTAAAGCATCAGACAATGCTCTTTAAGTGCATTTGTGTGCTCATTTGCAGTGCACCATGCCTATAGTCACAACATGCCATACTGATGCCCTATTGCTAGACCAGCCCAGACTGCAGGTGCACATGTAAAGGGTAGGGGTGGTAGACGAGGGGCGGCTGGGCCTGGCTGATGAAGTAGCTGTTGTACATGGGCTCAGTCATGTATGGAGCGGGCTGGTAGAAACAGGTGACATTTGCGGTGTTTGGGATGGCGTTTTGTTCTCCCAAAACCCTCAAGGCAAGGACTGTAATCATGTTCAGAGTCTGTCGCCTCTCATGGCCCATTAAGCACACAGTGCTCTCGTCAATCACACGCCGTAACGTCATCAGATAATCATATTTGCTTGCCTCATCACTGCCAATGTAGTGGCACTGTAGATAGGCTTCAATCTTGCGCTGTTGTTCACTCACATCTGGAAAGTCTATAAAAAAGCGTGAGCACATGTAACGCTCCAAAGATTTGATCTCTATATCACTGGCTGGACGAAAGTCTCGGACCAACAGGTCACTGTATTTGAGCAGCCCACCTCCCCGGATCTCCTCTGGGTGGTGGGTTGCAATGAGGCGGTTTTGAAGGTGGTGCAGGGCCTGTTGGAAGTCCCCGTACATGCACTCTGCCTCCACAGTGATGGTGGTTTCTACAGATGACCCTGTCCACAGGTTAGGTGACCCTAAGATGCCTGGCACCACCTCTGAAGGCTCAGGTTTCTGTGATTCTGAGTGGGACGGAATGTCGATTACACAAGTCTCTAAATCTGGGGGCTTCTTTGACTGTTTGGGCTTCACACTTAAGTCACTTGTTGCACTCCTTTCATGGACAGCAGTGTCTTTTTTATCTACAGGGGCAATGAGAGTTTTGCCTGAACCTTCTAAAGTCTCTGTAGTTAAGTTTTGTACATTGTCCATCAAAGCAGGCTTTTGTTGCAGTGGTTTTGGTATTTCAATAGGAGGAAAAAGCTGTGTTGTCAGATCTGACAGGTCAGGCAGCAGAGACCACTTCTCAGGTAGCTGTTGTTTAGTGATCAATTTTCTGGACATTTTGCGCTGTAATTTAGGAGAAGGGCAAGTGTCTGGCGGTACAATTTCCAGTGAAGTGCTGCAGGATTTCTTAGCTGGTGGTGGAAAAGCATATTCAAGATGTGAATCTCTTGCACCTGAAGTGGTGTTTGTGTCGTCTGTTCTCTGGAAAACGGGCTTCACTTTAAACTGGGAAATCTCTTCTTTATGATCTCTTTCCTTTGAGGCAGTCTGTGCTGGTTGCTCTAAAGACATTGTCTGAGTGGAAAGTGATTCACAGGGGTCATTATTACTCTGCTTTAAGCATGAATGTGTTACCAGCAGATCTTCTGCAAACAGAGCTTTAGAAGAAGCTAAAGGGAAGTCTTTATGAAATTGGCATTTGTCTTCAACATTTTCTTTGCATAACACAATGTCCTCCTGTGAATTACCACCTCTTATGTCAGTCACTTCTTCCGACGGAGAGCTCAAATGTACATCATTGTTTTCGGGCACCAAGACCTGCTTCTTGCAGTCCCTTTTATTGGTGTCAGCCTCTGTCTTTGTTTGTCCTTTGCAGGGATTTTCTTCATTAGACAACTTGGCCTGGTCTCTCTGTTCTAACGCAATTTTTGGAGCAGAGGTATATCCCTCTTGTTCTTTACTTTCATTAACACTTTTAGACATATTTTTAACAGCTGCTGTCATTTGTCCATTCTGTCTTCTTTCACTTTCCCAATAAGACTCAAGCATTCGATCTAAAATGATCTGGAAGGAGTCAACACTGAACTCAAAATGTCTTCGAAGAGAGCTCACAAACCTCAGACCAACAGTTTTGGCCCTGTTGTTTGATAGAGATATTAGACTCCACCTGTCATGTTCATTGAAGACTTTCACCATTTTTTGCACATAAGCCTCTTTCATGGTCAGACAGGTGATCTTTCTCCGGTTCACACCACAAGGGAGAAGGTCTCGTAGACTGCCCAGCACCACCTCCTTGATCACTTGGAAGTCCTCCTGTCTGGGCAAATCCAAACCAAAAATGATATCTAAATCTTTGTAGCCCAAACCATTGTCTCTTACCAGAACATTGCTTGCTGTAGCACCATTGAGACGTATATCTTTAACAGGGATATCCCGCTCCATCAGACGGTCCTTCACCACTCGTATTATATCTTTGGCTCGGACCTGCAGTGTGGGGAAATTTCCTCTTCCATAAATGGGAATCACCTCAGTCAAGACCTTATCCAAAGCCTGAATTTGTTCAAGAGTCAAGTTCTGGAAACGCTTTTCTGTTTGAAGCTCCATCTGCCTCTCCTGTGAAAAGATAAATAAAGAAACACAAAAGACATTATTCCCTGAACCGAACAAACATGGGAACGCATACATCTCATTCAGCCTTCATGACCCTTTGTCTGAGCTATTTTGAAATGGCAAATCAAAACTGTCATTGTTTCCATTTCTATTGGCCTTCTACGCTTGCTGTTTGCTAAACAATATTTTATATATTTACTTGATGTTTTTGTTCTTAACATAACTATTTAAGACAGATGGAAACGGTGACAGTATTCACATAGCAATGCCTGTTAAGAGGTCTGTTGGGATGTACATACATTTGAAGTAAGCTACTACCAGGTAGTTCCACTCCATTATAGGCAGAATTGGGCAGAAATATGTCTGCCAAATAAAATCGCTTTGGTCTTAAAGTGTGAACATGCACTTACTGAGCAGATGTGACTCATTCACTGAATTTAGGAGTGAGCTTTAGAGCACTCTCACACAGAGCACTGCCCTAAAAGAGACATTGTTCCTACATTCCAGGGACAAAGTGAATGACATTATTTGTTTATAATGTCAGCCTGTGTAGGACATGGGTGTTCAATAGTTGTACAAAAACATTTAGTCGATAATTATTGTTTATGGTATGTTATTATACAGTGTTGTCTAAAAGTAAGCTGATTTCCTACAACCTGACCTTGAACAGCATTGTAAACAGCGTGTGCAGCATATGTAAACATATCTGATACACTTTTGGACAGTAAACTCGTAGCCCAGTGTTAATCGTGATCCACAGCATCCTCTAGTGCACCTCTCGTGTTACATCACCTTGGTCCTGCAGCAGGACCGCTCTTCTGCCACTTGGCTTCTTTATAGATAAGACTATATGAGTCATACAGCTACTGAATGTAATATCAATGATTTTTCAGTGCAGAAAACAACTGAAACGCACCCTTGAATTGACGCTTATGCTGCATGACATATGAACAGGTGAAATACAACACTTTGGATAAAAGTGCGTTGTTGTAATATTGGAATACAGGCGTGGAAAATGAGTCCTTAAATTGTATCATTATAAACTACAATAATATTTCTATATCATGAATGCAATGTTTTCTAAAAACACTGCTCAAAACGATTTTATAAAAATACAATTCATATAGCAACAAAAAGTAGAAAATCTTTCTTAAAAACTCACCTGCTGTGACGTTAAAAGCCAATTCAAAACAAGCCTCGTAAGATGAATGGTGACAGGTACAACAGGTCTATTCCAGCTCTTTGTAAAGGCTGATGTTGAAGTTAATACGGATTGTTTCCTCTCAGTACAGCAGCACTGTTTCCATGGCAATAAGGCGTCACGAAATATACGGTAAATCACGACGCCCTCGCCTCCTCATCAACAAAGTGGTACCCTCTCAAGTTTGCAATAAAAGCTGCTTCCTCGTGTGTTTGGACCTATAGGCCTATTTAGTTTGTAAAGTTTGTCTGACTGTTTTCCTGTGCTCCTATAAGGAGCTATGATGAAAAACGGCGTGCCACCGCACTGCCGAGCTGATGCGGGGTGAACATCACATCAGACGGAGTGAGTCATCCTCTCTCCCCGCCGTGATCCACCGTAAATCTAATCATCAACCGCGCTTTCACCGCCCACAAAGCGACTTACACGCTCAGTTTCCACTGATTAACACGCTCTAAAGGATAAAACGTTTCGCCTGTTACTAAGTATAATGACTGTAACATTTTAAATCCGGATATGAATACATTTTAATGTGTTGTTTGCAGCAGAGGGAGGGACTGGGCACTCGTGACGTTCAATGGAATACCACCACCACGTGACGTTGACGTCATTCATATTTTGGTAAGACCCGGAAGTGCGGAAGACGACGAAGAGCGAAGCTCGAAGGATTGAAGTTTACTTGGTAAATTCCATCTTCAGTTTCCTTCTTTTTCAACAGCTGTTTGGACGATTGGATTTTTACACCCTTGAGTTCACGTACAGTCGTATCAAGATGCCTAAAATTGAACGTATCCTTTGAAACTGGGTGAGAAAAACAGTTCGCTGCGGTGTGGTGACAGTATGCTGCTTAGATTTATAACGTCCCTTTCTTGATTTTGCGGGTCATAAGTAAGCTAAAAACATAATAAGTTAAGTTAGCAATTCACCTGACTAATTTACTTGACATTTTTTACAACTATTTCAAGACGACATATCGTTCCAGACGAAGGCCTTTAAACTTAGCTTGCTACTTAGTTACTAGGTTTATACCGTCATAATAGATCCATGGCGTACGCAGACATTGTTATACTGACTGAAAAATAGTCTTAAGAATAATACCACGTGATGTATTTGTAGGGGCCGCAGTTTTGGAATAGGAGTGGGGGCTTTAGGGATCCGATAACAACGGGGGGCGACATAAAGTGTTTATTTCAGGGGGTTGAGGTTATAAGTGGTGGTAGCTTATGACGTTTAGGTTACCGTAAAAATATGTCTGTAAGAGACAAATCAACAGCTTTGAGTGAAATCCATCCCCGGTCTGCGTGGACCAGGAGGCATCCGTTAATGGCCCATATTACGCTATTTTCTATTCTCTTTTCTTTTCTCTTGATCTATGTTGTAATGTTTCCTCATCCAAAAGATACCTGGAAGTGTATTTGTTTCATTCACACATGTCTAGCACACAAACCCTGTATATGTAGGCTGAGCTCTTATATCAAACTGAAAATACTCTGTTCCGCCTTGTAATGTCATGTGGTAATACAGGAAGTGCTCCAGTGTTTTTAAACTCCATACACCTTCACTTCAATCATTTTGGATGATTTCAGCCTTGGAATTGCCAATCTCAACTAAACAAAAGGTAAACGTAGCTGTCAAGTTAAATGTCATTTCATGACATCACAACCTTGAACAGAGCATTTTCAGATTTGGAAATGTAAACAGACTAATAATAAAGGGTTACTCAAACGTGTGTGTGTGTGAATGAAACAAAACACAACTCTAATACGTTTTAAGGAGGTAATAACATTTTAAAATTGGTAAAAGCTCACAAGAGTCAATTGTGTGAAATATAGAACCTTTAAAATTTATTGACCATCAATAAGGTGCATTTAAAGCAAACTGAGCTTTTTTTTGGTGAAGCAATTCAAGGAAAGGTCTCAGTACAGTTTAAGAGGAGGAATGTCAGGTCTAGTGTGTATTTTTCTTTAACTCCACTCCACAGAACATCTTTTTAATTTAAAGTTTGCTGCCAAAGAACTCCAGAGAAATGCCAAAAAATGTGAGAAAGAAGAAAAGGCAGAAAAGGCAAAAGTTAAAAAAGTAAGTAGAACAGTAGAACTATTATAACTGTTTTCAGTGTCGGATTTGTAAACCTATCAATACTCTTTTTTTTTAGGCTATTCAGAAAGGGAATACGGAAGTAGCAAGAATTCATGCTGAAAATGCCATCAGACAGAAGAACCAGTCCCTGAATTTTCTGAGAATGAGTGCTCGAGTGGACGCTGTGGCAGCTAAAGTCCAAAGCGCTGTTACAATGAATGGGGTACTTGTTCTAGTGTGCTATGATAACCTTTAAGATGCCTTGTTAAATTTGTTTCTTAAATTCCATAGTATTTCCTCAATTCCTGCTCTTGTCAAATTGAAGCTGATGACAGAGAAAAATTCAATAATATATTCAAAATATAATATACCATTAATAGAATTTTTGTTAATGTTATATAGGTCACAAAATCCATGGCTGGTGTAGTTAAGGGGATGGAGGCTACTCTTAAGAGCATGAACCTGGAAAAGGCAAGTCAAACAAGAAATCAATTTCTATAGAAATTTTAAAATAACTAATAACAACAATATTATATTGTTGTGTTTAGATTTCCTGCCTTATGGACAAGTTTGAGCAACAGTTTGAAACCCTGGATGTTCAGACGGCCCAAATGGAGGACACCATGAGCAGTACCACAACACTGACAACACCACAGGTGCATTTTTGTGGTTTGTCACTACATTATATAATTTTTAATCAAGTAAGTAAATATGTATGATTACTGTTTTTCAGAACCAAGTGGACTCACTGCTGCATGAAATGGCAGATGAAGCAGGGTAAGACTTTACACCACAGTCTATATTTTTTAACCTACAAAAATGCATAATTTTGATGATCTGGTTATTATTTCAGTTTGGACCTGAACATGGAGCTTCCCCAGGGCCAGACTGGATCAGTGGGGACCAGTGTGGCTTCTGTTGAACAGGTACCTAATCCTTCATAGATCTACATTACTATGAGATTGCGTGGCTTCTTTTATGAATTGCATTTTTTTTTTTTTTTTTAAGGATGAGCTATCACAAAGGCTTGCTAGACTTCGAGATCAAGTATAAATGTGGACTAATCTTACTGCAACCTTCAAGCTTTTACACACTGTACACTACCTGATAATAAACTCCCAACCACCTCACATTAATCTCTCATGTCTCAACATACTAATGTCTTTGGCAGGTTATGGTGGTGTGTGTTTTCTTTAAATTGAGGCCTGATTTGTTTCCCTGTTTATATTGTTTTGGAAGGAACTATACTTTCAGTAATTTGTAAATACTGTATTAGTTCCGCTGTATATCAGACTGTGTGTTATAATTTACACATTTACTATTGAGGTGGGCAATATTGAACATAAGATCATAAAAAAAATATTATTAAGCATAAAGAAAATCTCAAAAATGTGTGCTTAGAAGTCCTGAGCATGGATTTTTTAGTATTTCTGTTTATGATTACGTAGGTTTTCATAGGCATGTTTCAACTATATGTATTTATCTTTTGATCTTTTTTTTGCCACATAATTTTATTTCTAAAATTTTTAAATAACCCATTGGAATTGTTTCTGGTTCCTGTCTTGTTTTTGCTTTTGACATGGGATTTGGTAAAGGGTTAATGCTTGAGGGGAAAAATAAGTAGCTAATAAAAAAAATTATAAGAAGTTTCTGTCATTGCTCTTTTTCTACATACATTTGAGATAACTGACAGTAAAATACTGTACAACGTAAGTGAGATTCTTAAATGAAAAATCCGACAACATTTTTTTTTTTTTTACAGCAATTATACAATAATATAGTGTTGAAAGCATAGAGTGTAGCAAGTGATTCCTCCAGCGGTGTTAAACTGATGGGCCATTTACCTTATCCCACTCAATAATGTTAAGTTTAGCATCAAACTTATTGTATTACACGGTGATAAACTGTTTTAATGTGCAGACAATAGCGCTAGTTAACTTCACAACTTCATGTTAACCGCACAGACAGCGGCGCTTTCGACAGGGGTCAGACCATAGACTGTATAAAAGAAGTATCATAATATACAGTCTATGGTCAGTCCTATGGTCAGACCCTCTTGGCGCTTTCTACCCTCAGGCTGCGCGCGCATCCGCTGTGATGGTAAACAAATAATCCATCTATAGACCCTTAAAAGTTTGTCAACCATAAACTATCAAGAATATAAACAGTGTGTGTCCACCTATAGACCCTCTCAAAGTGTGTTAACCATAGACTGTATAAAGAATATAAACAATTTATACAATTTATATAGATACAGTCTATTGTGTAAAGAAATACATTCCGAATTTTGGAAGGAAGCCATCTGGAGGCAAAAGTGAAAAGGAATGGTGTAACTGGGAGTAACCACATAATATCACAAAATATATAAAAAAAAAAATGCTTTTGGCAATGAAATCAGAGCCCAGATTAAAAGTTACTTTATTTATTTATTTTTTTTTTACTTTATGTGTTGTTAGGAGATAATTGAGATTTTGATGAAAGCAGTTTTTAAAATTCAGATATACCATGATTGTAGCATATCAGTTCACTTCCGCTGTTGGGTTTAGTCGCGTGACACGCGCGGGGGTTTCTCTGGATAATGTTCATGTTATTTGGAACTTTGTTTATGTTTATTAATGTGCAATCGAGCATTTGGCTATTGTCTTGCTCTGTAGCATGGCTCTACTACTTTACAAGTTAGGGCACGCCCACATTTTATTGCTGTTATATCCGCTGTTGTATTGGGAGAATGTTTGTCACCGTGTTTGAGTTTGTTTTGTTGTGATATGACCGTCCTATTCATGCCTGCTTTGGTGTTATTAATATAAAACCGCATTTTCGGAGCTGTACGATGTTACTTTGTCCTCCATGGAAACGTCATATTTTTTTAACGGTGTTTATATTTTATAAGTAAGATTCATGCCCAACTGTGTCAACAATACTTCGATTAATCGTAATCATGGGTTACATAGATTATATCAGTACTACTGGGGGTTGGGTAGGGGGCAGTTCTTCCGTCATGTGACTTTGGCGTAAACAGGAAGCAGCTGATCCTTCACTGTTTCTGCGAAGTAATTAATACAAGTGTAGTCCTGAGATTTCATCATTTTTACAGTCTCCATCTGCTTGGGTAGATAAAGAGCTCTACACGGGTGGGGTACGTGGACTTTGGGAATTTTAGGTGAGAGTACTTCCATTTTGCTTGCATAAATCAGACGGTTGTCGCGTTAGCTAACTTAGCATAGCAAGCTAATGTTCATGTGAAAGTAAAATGTGACAAATTGATTCCAAATGTTAGGTTTGCAGTATCACCGTTTTGTTGTATCAACCAGAGTTCACATGTCTAAGTAGCTGTCTCTGCACGTTGTGGGCTAAAGAGTTTTTGATTAGACAGATTTGCGTTTTACACCTTGGTGAAAATGAAAATATGTTTGTTCCGCAGCTGAGAGAGGAATTGCAAACATTGAAGTCTTCTGACCCGCAGCTCCTGTAATTTGTTCCGTGTTTTCTGAGGGGGATGTCAGGTTCAGCAATGAAGAAAAAGGTACTCTAGAAGCTTCACCATTTATGGTGTCATTTATTAGCATCAACATGCCATTTGACACAGAGGATGACAAACATTTCTGTGTTTTCAAAAAAAATGTCAACCATGGCTTCATTATTCTATTCTTTCTTCATCTTATTTTATTTTATTTTTTACATTTATCTGGGTATATCTAGTAATTCCCACTGAAACTATGGATGTACTAACTAACACATGAATGTCCTTGCTTTCAGATCACTTTTATTCTTTCCTTTCCTCAACAAATATTCTTGTGTTAACCCTCTGTCTTTGCGTTAGGTGTTACTGATGGGGAAGAGTGGGTCTGGGAAGACTAGTATGAGATCCATCATCTTTGCGAATTACATAGCTCGAGATACAAGGCGCCTTGGGGCCACAAGTAAGAAACACAACACCTGCAGATATATTGTTTTATGTCCTTAACAATTAAACTAACTCTAAAATTTCTATTATTGTTTAAGTTGATGTTGAACACTCCCACGTACGATTTCTTGGCAATCTTGTTCTAAACCTTTGGGATTGTGGAGGGTAAACTATTACTCAACATATTGCTTTTAAAATATTGGGCGATTGTGTTTCAAACTTATTTTTTCCTTGATCATTTCATCAGGCAGGACACATTTATGGAAAACTACTTCACCAGTCAGAGGGACAACATTTTCCGAAATGTAGAGGTTCTCATTTATGTATTTGATGTTGAGAGTCGTGAGTTGGAGAAAGACATGCATTACTATCAATCATGTCTTGAGGCCATTCTGCAAAACTCCCCTGATGCCAAAGTATTCTGCCTTGTACATAAAATGGACCTGGTACAAGAGGACCAACGGGATCTGGTGAGTTGACAGCTAAGAAAATGTTGAGGAAAATCATATTGTATTTTGCTGCTGTTGTTTTAAGGTGATTATAAGCACTGATGAATCCAAAACATGTGAGGACATTCCTGTTTTGAGTAACTTACAGTAGAGGAAGTGAAGAAATGATAAAGAGCTAAAGTTTTAAATGGCCTTGTTTTGCCAATGTGTTACAATCACATAGCCAGAAATAATGTATTGCTTGAGTTTAGCAATTTAAACCAGTGATTTTAGTAAAAGTATAATTTCCTTTGTGTCAAAATTGATCTATGAACACCTTATGCTTCAGATTTTCAAAGAGCGTGAAGAAGACCTCAAGAGATTGTCAAGACCATTGGCATGCACATGCTTTAGGACATCAATCTGGGATGAAACGCTCTATAAGGTTATAAAACTTCAACTGTCACCCTGTAAAGAATATTTTATACATCGCCATCATATTGATACAATATAATATCATACAGGCATGGTCAAGCATAGTGTACCAGCTCATCCCCAATGTGCAACAACTGGAGACAAACCTGAGAAACTTTGCTCAGATCATTGAAGCAGATGAAGTACTTCTGTTTGAGAGAGCAACTTTCCTGGTTAGATCCAATAATTAATATAATAAATATACATATACAAATAGATGAACATAAACACAAACATGATTGTGATTATTCTGCTCTTTTGTTTTTAAAGGTGATCTCTCACTATCAGTGCAAAGAGCAGCGTGACGCACATCGGTTTGAGAAGATTAGCAACATTATCAAACAGTTTAAACTCAGTTGCAGGTGAGTGCAGTTACCACAACCTCATCAGCCCTCACATTGAAACCACACACGAACACTTACAATGTTATTCTTTTTTTCAGTAAACTTGCAGCTTCGTTCCAAAGTATGGAAGTTAGGAACTCCAACTTTGCAGCCTTTATTGATGTTTTTACCTCTAACACTTATGTTATGGTCATCATGTCAGATCCGTCCATCCGTAAGTGGAAATCAAAAAATCAACTGCATGTATTTGATTTATTTAAGTTCTGTCTTTTAAATACCATCCCAGTGTGAACCTGCTCGTTTTCTGCCCACAGCCTCTGCAGCAACGCTCATCAATATCCGAAACGCTAGGAAACACTTTGAGAAGCTGGAACGGGTGGATGGCCCCAAACACAGCCTGCATATGCGGATGCGTTAGCCTTAAGTTCACATGGACGCTCTCAGCCAATCACTCAGGCCACAAACAGCACATTGTAATTTAGTTCTGAAAAACACAAGTAACTCTTCCTTTGTATTTTCACATTCAATCAAATGTTACTGGGGGAAATCATGAGATCAATGAGAGGCAGGTAATGTTGGACTTTTAAATATATGTTTGTACTCTTTTAAACAAGTATAAACTATATGCAAAATCTATTAAAATGTTCTTTTTCTTAATTAAATAATGTGTGAATTACTTACCTCGATAAACTTATTAACAAATAAGGCCAGCAATACTAATGGCTGCTGTGATGTCTGTTGGTGAAGCATAAGTCGTACCAGCAGTTGTTGGGTACAGTTGTCACATGGATCACATGTTTAAGGTTGGGCTGAGTTGTCCATGAGTGCGCACTTTGGTTATAAAGGAAGGAGATTAATATGAGTGTGGCGCACCTGTTTGACCAGCTGCAAAGAACTGACAACATGGCATGATGTGAGTCAAGTGATCTTTAAATGTATTTAAATCTGAGGAAGACTTTTAGTTGAGGTATATTTATATTAACAACACCACTCTACTGAAAACATGTGGAGTAGGCCATTCATCCAGCTAAGTATACTTTTGATTGTAAAAACAGATCTGAAAGGGCTCCCTGGGTGCTGCTTTGCAATTGTCCACTGCTCTTGAGCATTGAAAGAGTAAAATGCAGAAACTAAAAGAGTTAAAAAAAATTTTTTGTCACTTATTGCTTGTATAGAAGCCCCAATAAAATTAACTACATGAAAAGGCCGTGCCATGAAAAGAGTGTAATCTTGTCAATATTACGCTGTACAGGATGAATCCAAATCAGATAGATCTGTTATCTCAGAAATTCAGGATGTAATTAGACTCCTTTGTGCAGAGCAGGTAAGGAGAACTCTCTCTAACTCCTCCATGTCCGTGGCAGTGCACTCATCACCTCCTCCTTTTATTATGTCTAGCTTCAGCATTGTTCAAAACGCTTATCAGCATTTCTCATGTGGTTCAGTTGTATCCTGGAATGTGGAGCCAGGAGACGGGAAAATCCCCTCTGTAGCACGGAGCAAGACTTTATATTAAAGCAAACACAACAAAAAGCTTCCCTTTTTAGTGTGCAATAATTACGTTGTATTATGTTATACTATTGACAATAATAGAAAATGTGCAAAAGTCTGACAAAAAAGACCATTCATTTAAATAAGATACTGCTTTGAAGTATGGGTATAGGAGACTGGAAAAAAAAAAAAGTCAATATTTTTTCAATATTAGGCCAATATATCTATATGAAGAGGGAAATATATACCATATATTAGCATAAACAGGTAAACTATTTGGATAGATACAGTCATTGGAAAAAAGTGCTTGTAATTCTGAGAACAAATGATCTATCCTCATTGGACTGCCTCCCTTGAGGAGCAACCAGAGCATGGTGTACAGAACCATTGCGCAATACATATCAGGAGGGTGAATCCCCAGCTTATGCATGTTTACAAAACTCAGGCAGCTTGCTTTTCGACATAAGGAAATGAATTAATAAAACAGCTGCAATGAGTTTTATCAGACTTAAATATATTTATTCCAATTTGATGATAAAAAAGATCACTTTGTTGGTGAAATAACCTTTTCCTCTCTTGCTATATGTGACCCACCCTTCCCCTCATCATCAGCCCCACAGTCAGTCTGATTCAGCTGCCTCTCCAATAGAGTTATTCTCTGCTTTAACCTCTGCTGTGTATGTGTATATTCATTAAGCAATCGTGCAAATCGTGTCTGCAAAGTGTCTAATCCGGTCTCAAGTCTCTCCACTTTGTCCTCGGTGTCTTCTTTCTCCAGACCACCACTTTCTGCATTTTCATCCAACAGACCTTCTTTCATTAAAATCTCTCTACCCCTCTCCTCAAGTACAGTTTTTGCATCAGGATATTCTGTCACTGCCTCCATCAGGTCATCTTTAGAGAGGCAGAAGAGATCAGAGTAGCCCAAGCTGCGGATATTAGCTGTACGGCGATTTCCCATTTTACTTCCTTTAATGTTGAGAATGCTTATTTCCCCAAAGCAGCTCCCCGCAGTGAGGAGGGCATACTGCGTGACTCCATCGTCAGCCACTACAGCCAGTTTACCCTCCTTTATAATGTACATCTCCTTTCCTATGTCACCTTTCCTGCAAATGTAGTCACCAGGACTGAAGACTTGTGGTCGCAGTTTAAGGACAAGTTCAACCAAAAGTCCTGCTTCACAATCTTGAAAAATTCGCACTTTCTTCAATGTTTCAAGATGTACATTTATGGCAATTTCAGCTCGAAGTTTGTTGGGAAGGTTTTTAAGCACTTCTTGTTCGTCAACTGCTTTTTTATTGGTCCACAGGTAATCAAACCACTTAATGACACGTGTTTCCAAATCTCTGCTAACTTTGCGAAAGTGCATGTAATGTTTTATGGCATCAATTCGAGCTTGAAACTCAGCACGTGTAGCATTCATATTGGCTATCATTGATCCAACATTTCCAACAATAGTGGCGAAGATTAAAACACCAACAAGAAAATCAAAGACCACAAATAAGTACTCTTCATCTCGCACTGGAGCAGGCATTTCCCCAATAGTGGTGAGAGTGAGGGTGGACCAGTACAGACAGTAGACATAACTGTGTGTGAGAGAGGAAAACTCCGGTTTAGACGAGTTTGGAAAAACCCAAGAGTCTGATCCAAATCCCAAAGACTTGGAGATGGCGTAGTAAATGCAAGCATTCCAGTGGATGATGACCAGGATGTAGAGCACCAGATTACAGATGCGAAAGATGTTGGGATAGTTAGTGCGGGTTTCTGTACGGTCGAAAAACTCAAACATTCGAGGGAAACGAAGCAGACGATTGAAGCGGAGCTGGGGAGTGTGTCCCTGTGGCAATGTAGGCCAGGTCTGTGGGCAGTATCGACAGCACATCCAACTTAAACTGCAATGTGTGAACATAACTATCCCGAAGCTTTGCATGGTCCTTCACCAGCAGCCCTTGCTCCAGAAAACCTACAGAAATGCAAATTCGAATAACAGTTAACAACCCATGTATTCATATCATTAGTAATTTAAGAAGACACTATAACATAACATAAAGGCGCCAGTTTTACACAATATATCCCCTTTCAAAATATAGTACCTCGCTGAAGTATTTCACAGTCTATTCAATTTAGGATTTTAGTTCCTCCAACATTGTTTTTGCTACTGTTGCTATTGTCATTTTCCAAGTCCAGATGTGTTTTAGCTTTGAGCTCCTTTTGATTTAAAGCACTGAGGACTTTACTGGCAAATCCTTACAGGCATGTTACTCCAAACCAGATGCTGTGTTTTCATCAGCGTTACCTGTGCGGAGGCGAACACAAGTGTCCATCAAGTACACAGTATCAGAGAGGTAGTCCAGCACCAGCCAGCAGACATAATTATCCACTTGTAACGTATCAAAGCAAGCCCTGTGGATGGAATTGAACAAGAGAGACTGGGTATTATATGCAGTCTATGGGTGCAATCATTTTACATTCATTACCTGGCTACTACAAGAAACCAGTTGTATAAGACAGCAATGGCGATAACAAACAGCCAACGGTAGTATGCATTGTCGGATGGAGACACCACAAACAAGTCCCATTTTCGTCTAAAAAAGAAAGATACAAGTGTGTGAAATGTTTAAAAAATGTGTTGATTGATATCAATATTTTAAATTCTATAGCAGGTCCTCCAAATTTGAGGAAAGTTGTAGTTTCTGGTGGAGAGTCACCTCCATGGAAAAAGAAAGTTAAAACTATACTTCTGAACATTCTCCATGAGACAGATACATTTTATGCCATACTGTGGAAGATTATAGCCATAGGAGCAATATTTCCATGGAAACAAGCAGGAGGAGGCCTTCCTCCAGGTCAAATAAGGATTGTGGATATGCAGGCCCGCTCACAGTGAGAATGCATGTTTTTACCTTTCAATGCAATTAAAAAACAAATAAATAAAAACATGCTTTACTTTTACTTTTAAGTTACATAGTCTCTTTTCATTAATTTCATTAGAATGTTCCGATGTAACCAATATATACATTGTCAATGATAATATAAACCATTCCTACGTCCATTATCTCCAATATAAAATGGGATTAACCATACTTAATGATGCTTTTGGGGTCGTCAGCGCCCTCTTGTGGGTTGTTGCTGCTGCGGCTAGGGGCGGTTCTGAGTTCAGGACCTCGGAAACGCTCCAGGAAGGAGTCCGGCCGCTCCTCTTCCTCTAAAAGACTTCTGTGGGCCCATTCCCGGAGTCGCACCACAAGGTTCACTAGTCTAAAACAAACATCAAATACAGGGAGTTCATAATGTCTCATTTAGCAATTATCAACCATGTACTATTTACTGCCTATAAGCACAACTGACTACATTGGATATATGTCTCAGTAGCTTGTCAGTAAATATTGTTATTACAGTCTAAGTCAATCAAGCAATATGATCTTGTTTTAATAATAACCCAATCCAACAAACACAATGCCATGGCTGGTTAATGTTTCAGGAAAAAGTTGAAGTTTGTTGTACGTACTTACATGCCTTTGTACTGTATATAGCCTACTGTATTACAACTACATCCAAATTACAGGTTTTCTATAGGTCTTTATCAAAATATTGGCAATATTCTCAAATAACTTTATAATGATTTCACATTTCATTTGGCTGCTAATTACACCTCAATGAATACATTTCTTTTGGACTGACATAATCTGAATATCGTAACCTACCCATCCCTACTTCAAGACAGGCATTTTTAGTTTTTATTCTTGGCATTATTAGGGTATCTTAGTGTTACCTTGAGACAGCTCCTCTCCTTTGAAAAGAATTTCTCGACTGGCCTCCATGTGGGTCCAGCGCTGCCACCCTCTGCAGCTCTGAGCATGTGTCATCACAGACCGACGGCACCCTGGAAACATGGCAAAGATGTGGCTTATCTCAACTGCATAGTTTCAAGTCATATTTAAAATTTTTTCCACATATTCATTATCAAAACTTCACCTGCTGAGTATGCTCTCTGCTCGTTCAATCTCATCATCCAAAGTGGTTTTGACGGACAGGTTATGAGGTGACCGGTCCCTCTCTGCTGCCTGGCCTGTCATCTTCATCTACAGTCATGTTACAGCACCCTGAGCAACACATGATTTAGCTATAAATCAGGCATGGGGTGGGTAATATGGCAAAATGTGCACTATGTAACTTCTCTGGTGGAGGTTCCTCACATACTTGTCCCCATGGATAGGTTATTGGTTTCCCTGGAATGTTACACAGTGTGGCATTAAATGTATTTATCAATGTAAATGTTTTATTGCATAATAAATAACTTGAAAAGCATTGTTTCAGTAATTGGTCTTGCATATAACTTGTAACTTGGCCTAGTACTGTTTCCATGGAGATAAACAAGTTCAATGTCATAAAGGCATAGAAATTATATTTTCATGGAGCTGGGCAGGTGGCGGACACTGAACTAGAAAAGTTACATAGTGCACCTTTAACATCAAAATTTTCTTGTAACCAGATTATGATAAAGATTTTATAATTTTTCATGTAAAACTAAGTCATCTGCTTCTTCTGAAAGTTCATACTTAATTTCAATTGCTTAAACACAAACTGAACGACAAGTTGTGGATGGGAGATTGTAGAGCTGCATTCAAGAAAACGTTTGTGAATCACGCTATGGCGATTTTATCAAAATAACATACTGTCACGAGAATGAGATTATAATTACATTTTATCACCTTATTGGCCAGCCCTATGTCAGAAATAAAACAGTGTTTTATACAGGGAATCTCTATGTTTGTGGTGTGTATGGAAGATGAATGATAGTCTGGGGACCACTAAGGACCAAAGGGACCGTGTGCTCCATCCCTTCAGCACCAAGCAGTTGTTGTGGCGCTTGCTTGCTAAATTACTAAAACAACAAAGTACAGTGATTTTAAATACATTAAAGACACGCTCTAATAACACACCTCTATACAGCCGACTGATGATGAGCTGTTTAGACAACTGTTACCACTGTGTGTGACTAATTGGTGGATCATTAGTGAAAACACTCAGATGCAAAGGCAGCGAGCCAATCAGCTGCTCTCCCCCCGGAGCATCCTCACTAGGAAACCGCGCGCTGCAGCCCCGAGCTCCGTGCGTAACACAGTCATTTATCCATAACTCGGCATTTAAGAAGGGTACTTATAACTGAATCAGTATTTTAAATCATTTCTTGATATAGGGTGACCACCTCAAATTTAAGAGAAAGAATGACAACAAATAGCCTAAAAGCATATGTTTTTTTTTTTTTTTTAATTAAGCCGATCAATCGTAACGCACAAAGGACGACTGGAATAGAAATAGGTGCCCACTTACCACCCAGAGAATTACTTTTTGTTGTTTGTTAGTTGTGGTTTGCGAGTTATTTCCCAGTTATTTTCATATTAAAGTGGTTTATGTCAGATGCCTTCCCTGACCTTATGCAACCTTTTTTTTACTCAGGCTTAGAACTGGCATAATTACTGGCTTGTGACTCCGTGTGGCTGTTTAATTCTAGTCTAGCTATATGGAAGATATATAGCTACATCTAGAAAAAAGTTTCTTACCTTGACCCTCCTTTAGTCACTCCCATAGACTTCACATCTCTGAAAACAAGCGCATCTTTCCAGCGTATCCACCTGTTGTCTCCACTCCAGAACACAGGAGATCATGCCCGTATCTTGCATCAAACATTTCAGCGCGTTATGTGGATCATCTTCTTGTAGCGCTGCCTCCTCCTCCTCCTCAGTCACTCTTGCGTCTGGAGTGGCTCTGCTTCACCTGAATGAGGTTTTTACTCTGTGGCTTTAACTGAGGCGTATCCAGCGGTACTCGAGAGGCCTGTGGTGTGTGGGGGAGAGGAGCCGCACCGAAGCACTCTGGGAAATGTAGGGTTTTGAAGATTCAGACGTGTGCTTTAAACTGGGACAGCTCCTGGGAGGATGTCGTACAGTTACTAGGCTAGCAACACTTGTCTCGTTTGATTTTATGTGATTTGGAGACATTTGTCACAATAAAATACAGAAGGACACTGGACAAACTGCTCTATCGTGAACACTCTTGCTCACTCGTTCCAACAGACATTAAAGGGACAGATGAGGCCAATACGCTCTCGATTGATCAGCTCCCACAGTGACTGATACAGAACTACATTTATTCTACACTCCATACAACTGTACAGCAACTAATCCCTATCTAGACTAAAAGACAACCTAAGGTAATGTCAACATTATAACATTTTCATCTTTCCACTGTTTCTCCCCTCCAACTCTTCGCATGGATCCTTGTTGGCCCTCGCCACTAACAAAGTTAGGGGCGAGGGGTATTGTTTTTCGTCGGTTTCTTTTATTTATTTTTTTTATTCCCTTTTCCGACCAAACGATCGCATTTTTGACCCCCTGAACATGGACGAAAAGTCAAACCGGGGTTCAGATCGATCGGCCCGGCGAAAAATTTGATAAAATGGGCATCGTGACAATGACCAACGTGACCCGACTCAACAGCGCCACCTAGAATTCGACCCCTATGGGAGTGGGGACAGGTAAAGTTTGTCACAGGGAAACGAAATTCGGGACAGTGATAGAGAACAATGAGACAAGCCAAAAGATGAATTGGAGCCTTAATAGATCCATGATTGGAGCATGACCCTATGACAAACAGGAAGTCGGCCATATTGGATCAAACATTCGGCGCCGTTTTGACTTGGTGGTCTACAAAAAGATTCAAGTCCCCGGGGTTTGGTCCAAATGACCTCAGATTTGACATGTCACATCTACAGACATGAACTCACAGAAGTTGCCAATTTTTTTTGGAATACTCCTTACGGTTCGCCCGTAGCACGTCGGCGAATAACGCCTTCATTTCCTGTTTTTTCGGTGACCTGTCACGGCCACAGGCATTGTCCTAGAGAACTCAAATTCAAATCACAATTGCGTGATCCAGGCCTGAATGTGATGAAATATGAAATTTAATAAAAGTGAACTCTATAGCGCCCCCTAGCATAGACGTGAAATGTCAACATTATCGGATTTGTACCAAATTCGGGGATTAAATTCTATGCATGATGACAAGCAAAAAAGTTTATTACGGACATGATGCATTTTCCACCATTGGCCAGCAGGGGCGCAAAGACTCCCCCAGAAAATAGTTAAAAAATTATTACACACACAGGCTTAGTCCGATCGTGCTGAAATTTGAATCACTCATGCCTGATCACGGCCTGAATATAATACACCATAAAACATATGAGATGTGAACACTATAGCGCCCCCTAGCATAGACATGAAATGTCAACATTGTCGGATTTGTACCAAACTCGGGGATTAAATTCTATGCATGATTGTGAACAAAAAAGTCCATTACGGATATTGGGCATTTTTCATGGTTGGCCAGTAGGGGCGCAATGACTCCTCTGAAACATTAAAAGGTACACTGTGTCATTTTTCTGGTGGACGAGCTGTCGGCCTCGGGAGCTGTCGGGAAGAGAGAGTGGCGTGCCGGGGCGGTCGCGACTCCCCGGCGGTCGCGTGGGGGGGCGGTGCGCGCCAGGGCGAGGGCCACCATCGCCGCGCGCGGCTTTAATTTATCATTGAGATTTGTCCAAGTCTAAATTGAGCAAAGAGTAGATTACATTTAATACATACATTGCATTTACAAAAGGGGCCTATAGTATTTCAAAAGGCCTTTCAAATCAAACATGGCTTTACTTATCTTCTTTTGTCTGGGATGCAAAAACATGGTGCTACATAATTCAGACGGAGTGGCTTAAATGCAAATGTGAAGGGCCCTTGTGTATCAGCGCCAAGACAAAAACATGCAGACAGAACCTCCAAATACCACAGTGAAAAAGGAACTAAATTTTGTTGGCGCTGATTGCTCAAAAAGGGGCAATTTACTGTATTGGAACAAACTAAACAGTGCAAAAGGGGAAGAACATAAAAATGAGGGAAGTGATAAAAGGTAAACAGCAATAATCTTTAAAAAGATTGTCCTTATCTTTAGTTGCACATAGGAAGTTATCTGAAAAGGGTTTACTGCATAGATATCGTCAACATTTCACATGCTACATAAATGCTTGAAAAATGTAGCCAAACAAGAAGGACATTGTTCAATACATCTTTACTGAGAAGTAGTGCTTTGGGCTAGTGTGTTTTGTGTAAATTCAGAATACATGATCAAATTCTGAGATGCATATTTATTGTTAGATGGAAAGCATTTGAGAGTAGACATGAACATGTAACCAAATACAATTTGGCCATTGTCAGAGTATCACAAAAGCAACCTGAAGTTACTGTTACTGTCTAAGTTACTGTCTATATTTGGTAATGTTGAGTATAAAATATTAAGATAATTCCTCAAAGTGCAAATATAATTGACTTTGAGAAGAGAAGGCACAGCATAAGCCAAGCAGAGTCCAGTCAGCCTGCTCCTCAACATACAAAATAAATTCATCGTCAAGGCAACCAAAATAACCATTACCAACGACTCTACATCCCAACAGACAAGACAACATGATGCTCTGAAATGACCTCATGGCTTTGAGAATTATAATAAGATATGCTTGTACGTGAGGTATTGAGTCAATGAGTCAATCACCCCAACATAATACTAACATATGTTAAGAAGGATAGCCAGGATTCAGGAATAATATTTACTTATCAGTCTGCATAAAAATATGTAAACAACCTTGCAGCTAGATATACAATACCATCATTTTACAAAACAGCATTGTACATTATTTAAGACTTGCATAATGAAAAGTAACCAGTTGTCTTCAGACATTTGTCCCTTTAAAGAGTGGCCATCTTTGAACTGGACAGCACATTATTCTTCGGTAAATACAGTAACTAATTTTGAATTTTAGATCACGTAACATGGTCAGCCTTTTAAAATAAAAAAAACCCACATTCCTTCAATCGGGAGAGCCTTCAAAATGCTAATGGCTTGTTGTGGTTTAGTTTGAAGAGTCACAGTGATGAGATCCTTGGATGTGATTCATGCCTCGTCCCATCAAGCAAGCGAAAACTGTCATCACCATTTTAGGTTTAACCTCCACAAGGTCCTCGGGAAGAGCGTATAC